AATATGTAAGTTTGTGCCTATTAGTTTGCTTTACAAAATTTAATACATTTTCTGTAGGACATACTGAAATATGTACTATAGATTTAAAGTTGAAACAACAAAAATATAGTATAGGTTGGTCATCACTAATCCAGCATCATCGGGACCTGTAAGGTAACGGATTAGTGATTTTGCCAGATTACAGAGTTGTTAGGTTGGAATACACTTAACCCAATGACGATATTTACGCATTGGTGATTTCACCCACTTTACGCCCCATTTTTGGCCCATTCCAGTCTACCAAACTCCTAGCTATTTTGCCAGTATTCCTTCTATTCTGTCGATTGACTACAAGAAACTGCCCATGCACCTATTTCAACTACCCAATAAAGTGGTCAGAAATCAGCAATTTGGCCAGTTTCACACAAATTTCAAACGATGCCAATTTCAAAATACAGTGAACCCTTCCTTTTTGTCTTTAATTTGTTCCAGAGAGTTCAACAAAGTGTGAAATCGACTAAAACTGAAATCATTTTCCCCATAAGAAATAATGTAAATCCAATTAATCCGTTTCAGACATACAAAAGTATAAACAAAAAATACATTTTATAGAGGAGTATATTCCACGGTTTATCTATCACAATTCATCTAATATGACATAACAAACAATATTAATAACATAAAAACATGATATATACTCTAGACTAAATAAAATATGTCATTATATATATGAGTAGTAAGTGGTGGTGGTGATGTTGGGTTTATAAGGGCCACTGAGAGAAGCTCTACATATTAGTGGTAGTGTAGGCGGCAGCCGAAGCCACCAACACTATTCACACAAACAATGTACGTAATTTATAAAAAAAAATAATTTACACTTACTGTAAATAACAAATAAGGCATAATACCGTGACTGGAACGATAAACTAATAACCCACACATAGAAGAGAGGAGCTTACGATGGCATTTTGGTCCGACTTGGACCATTTACAAAGTCTTCTATGTGAGGGTTATTTATGTACACTTACTGTACCTTGGAGATGCTGGCACTGGTTAGGGTAGTGGAAGATAGGCAAGGCGGCGTATGTTTTTCATTGGCCCTATATATCTTCAATAACACTGGAGGAGTCAGTTTCGTGTTGTCCTTTTTCTATCGCTTAATATAAGCCTAACTGATTTGCTACACTGTTAATGCTACACTTTATCGCTGGCTGGCGCTATAGCCTTTATCGGCTTCTGCTGCTTTAGTATTGTACATATTGTAGAATCACTGAAGAAGGCACATTCTTCCCTCTCTCTTCCTCTTCCACTTTGGTATTTTGTTACGAGTTTTTTCTTGAATTCTATCAAGTTTCTCACCTTCCTTATCAATGGGCTCGCACTAGCAGCTTTCTTTGTGCCCATGGTGGCTTATTTAGCAGTCACACAGATTAAACAAGTGCAAAAAACGAATTACGTATTACGAAATGTTTCCTATGGCCTTGCAGGATAATGTTCACTTACCCATAAACAAAGCGACACTGTCTCCTCAGAACGCATGTGTGGGAGGTTGTGTGCCCGGCACACTCGGGCATGTACCGTACCACCGACAAGAATGGAGGAAAGCAACAGAAAGAGCCAATATTTTTACCATACCACTGACAAGAATGGAGGAAAGCAATGAAAATGGAGCCAATAATTTTACGCAAAAAATCGGCGATAACGGAAATGAGCGAAAACAGAGCTCAACAAAAAGGAAGGGTCCACCGTAGGGTCCAGAATAAACAATGTAGACATTCCTAGCACTAAAATAACATTTTCTCTGTTCATTAGTCACATTTCCAGGCCCCTCTTATATTATGCTTGCTTTCCATTTTGAATTTTCATTCACACAAAATACAGAAAATTTACTGTTACGCAGACTACTGCATTATTGTAATAATTGTATAAATAATGCCAGCCCATTCATGACTGCATATTAGACCCACTAGTTGGACACATACTGGACGGTGATGTCATTCATTTACTCTAGAACATCGGCAAAAATCGAACATTTCCGTGGCTTTGAGCTCGATTTTAAGGTACTTTCTGGCATGAAACCAATCAAAATTATATCTATTTCTTTAATATATCTTCTATTCTATCAAATAAGAAAAAAAAAAAAAGAATACAACCATACAAAAATACACTACAGTCAGGCTTACACCATAAATATGGTTGCAGTTTTTTCTCATTATGCACTGTGTGCTGCAGGATTTTTTATATATAGTGCAAACTTACCACATAAACCTATTCTCTCACATGTAGGCCCAAATTTACCGGTCACAGCTTATCTAAGTGAGCTGAGCTCATAGTGACTGACAGTGGCTTCAAAGCCAATTTATCTTTCATAGACAATGTATGGTGTATGTACTTTACACAATGAGAAGCATTTCTTTTATTCATTGGAACCATGGCTAGGGCTAAAAGTGAGTAGGTTATAACGATAAATGGAGAAAAAGAAATTGGAATTACTTATGCAGCAAGTAGCGCCACCAAACAGTAGTGGCAGGATGGTATGGCGACCCCAGAAATTTGAAATTATGCTAGCCGAAATTAGTGCCGGATTACTGATGAAACCGGATTACTGATTACCAGATTAGTGATGGTCAACCTGTATTCTATTTGACCAAGAGCCAAATGTTGTTTATTCATGTAAGAAATTTTCATCCTCCTTTTAATGGATGAAAAATAAAAATTGCTACAAGTGAATAAAAAATTGAATTAAATAGTCAAGTGGTATAAAAACTAGCATTGACTATAATCTGAACACAGGTCCAGGAATTTTAATGCTGAAAGTCTTACAATTTAAAATTTTCAGTGATTATTAACTATATTGACACACCAAATCACTTTTTACCTGACTATCATGAAGTGAGGTCTATGCGAGGTACAACCCTTCTGTGCGTTAAGAAACCTATTGCTAATTTCCTTGATTTTGTGCCTCGAAAATGTGATTGATGCATCACAAAAGTGCTCTGAATTTGTTGCTCTTTCACTGTAGTTAAATGGCATACAAAAGTGTAGATTTAGTGACTGTCCTGCATGCATCTCAAAACACAAGTGTAATAAAAAGTGGTTAATGCACAAATAAAGCGACATGGAGAAAATAAAAGGAAATAGGAAAAAAAGAAGTGCTGTATGTTCCAGCACACAACTGTTGCCCTGTTTAAGCCAAATTATACAGTACTCTTCTTATTTACTGTTATTTTCTCCATATGGGATCATTTGTGCTACTGACCAACATTTATTACAGTTTTGTGCTTGGATGTGTATGTGCATATATAAGCAGCATATACAGTACAATATATCATCAGGTTATAAACTAAATCTGTACGTATATATAAGTACTGTGTATTTCCTTCTTGCATTAAAAAAGTGAGAAATGTGACTTCAAAAGCTACCTGAATTAAAAAATTGAGGGTTAATGATAATTCCTCTAAACTGAAATTTGTGAGGATTATTTGAAGTCAGTGACTTCTTTTTATACCACTTATCACATACGAATAAATAATTATATATAATTATATATACATTATATAATTATATATATGAATGATAGAATATGACTTTTTACATAATGATTGTGTTTCTTATCTTACCATGATAATGATGATGATGATGACAACTTTGTTTATCATCTACACCAAATGGTGTATAGATGTCTGCTTGGCAGCTAACTAAGAAGCCTGATGGGATATCTAAATATAAAATTTGTAACTAGCAGTTCTGCTCTGATTACCATAGAGCAAAGAACTTCTAACATACCAGGCTGATTTTTAACCAGATGCAATTTTTTTTTTACAATAGAAAAATAGGCTATGTTTTATTATAAACTAATACTCTAAATACTATCAGGTTATTTGTTAATTATTACTAAATTGTGCGCTTGCACAAAGCACCACACAACACCACCATGAGGTACTTATTTGACTATTATATGAACACAAAATATTACAGAAAGTAGAGATTAGTTATGATTGACAAAACTGGAAATTTATAACATAAATATTATTCTCTGATAGTTGACATTAGTAAGCATCATATTGTCAGTGTAATATAAAATGTTTTTCAACAAGGCATCTCCTTTTAAATGGCCCTCAAATACACAGTCATTTTCCTTCTTTGATAATGTATTTTGAATACAATTCGTAAGCAATTATTTGGAGTAAAATTTATAAATAGGATACAATTTGATTATAAATTAAATTACTAAATACTTATTGGAAAAAGACAAAGTGCATTTACTAAACACAGTCGAACCTCGGTTGTCAATTGCATTACTTGTTAAATAAATTGATTTTCGAATGGGTGTTTGAGAAAAAATGTCCTGGTTTTCGTACATTCTCTTGGTGCAGTGTACAATGAGAGTGTAATGTCTTAATTTAGACAAGTGTTAAAACAGAGCCTGAAACAGGCCTCACTGGACAGCTTTTTAGTGAGACAAAGAACCAGTGAGCCAGAACAAGTGTTAGTGGTGAAAAAAGAAGAGAATCAACATTAGCTCTCCTCTGACAGGTAAGGGGTAGTTAAATTTTCATTTACTCTACAGTATTTCAGTTAACTTTTTCATTTAGTATTCATTTTTACAGTTTCCCTGTGCTGTATAATTTTATACACTGTTTTATGTAGTAGTTAGTACATGATTATTATACTGTCATTTGGAGTCTGGAACGGATTAACTCTATTTACATTATTCTTTCTGGGAAAAACTGCTTTTGTTGTCCTCGATTTTGGTTGTCAAATCGACATCTGGAACAAATTAAACTTGAAAACCGAGGTTCCACTGTACTTACTGGAAAAACACAAAATGCAATTAAAGACTTGTCCATGTGAGTGATCCTTTTGAGAAACTTGTTTGAACATAAAAATATGCTCAAACAAAGAAACACCAAGGGAACAGAAACAATATTAAGATGAGAAAAGCAGCGAAATAAGATAGCTAAAATGAAGGGTGAAAAAAAAAAAAAGTTAAAATGACTGATGTTTTGTGTGATGAAAAAATAAAACAGATGTGGTCTTCATATTTAACTTAATACATGAATTCATAGCTGTGCCAGTGTACTAGGGGCTCCTGTACATACTGTTTAATGTGATTATCGTACAAACTTTTCATCCTGAATATGATACCCATTATGTGTAATAAAGAAATTATGCTCTGCACCTTGTAGATGTAATAAATGAAACAAAATTATAAGTTCTAGGTCAGAAGTATTTAAATTTGTTAAGTTCGTAAAAAAAAAAGTATCTAAGTAAGAATTAGAGGTGATATGATGGAATACAATACCAACAAATTGGTAAGTAAGACATGTGCAACAATTAGGTATCTTTATTCTGAAATGTTTTGCCTACTTATTGTTCCAGTCTTTGGAGTAAAACTCTTCTCCAGGTTGAAGGACTGATCACCTCAAAACTATTGTCTTCCGGGGTGACGAACTGATTACATTGTCTATACAACTCTACTTCTTCTGCTGCCTCTGTATTCGAGTAGAGAAGTCTATTGTGTAGGCAAAATCTTTCTGAATAAAGATACCTAAATGTTGCACACGTGTCTCACTTATCAAGAATTAAAGGTGAGGAGGTACTATTGAACGAACAATTATGGAAAGAATAGAAGGCATATGAATGTATTATTCAAAAATGTTTTGCTTGCTAATCAAAGTGCGATACAAGAAGTTATTATTTTTCCTACTAGGTAGTCATGGAACTCACTAAAGTTCAAGCTTTTCAACTCCTTGAAATTTCGAAGATTTCTGATCCTAAGTGCAGTCACGTCTTTGTTTTCTCTTTTCCCAAATTATGCAGTATACCTCTAATGAGGCACTGTACATGGAAGCTAAGTAAACATACACTGCAGTAGTTGCACAATGCATGACAAAGTCTACTTTAATTTTCTCTGAAAAGAACAACTGTAAGAGCAAACAGCATTAAGGGAATATATAAGAAATGACTGTAAACAAGTTGTGTTGCTTGAGAAAATACACATTGAAATGTAAAAGTATATAATTTTAATGAACTGCAGCTGGCACAATGAGATTCAGATGTAGATGGAATGTGATGGAGAAAATAAAAAAGATGTATATTTATAAAGTTATCTGATACTTTTTAAACACATGGAGATAATAAATTAGAGAGAAAAAAACTAAGTAAAATATGGGCCCAGCAGACAGGTGAAAAACTTACAACATTAAGATAGGTATACAGTATTTAGTTACACAGCATGTGCTAAGTGTGTATTCAATATTAAATTGTCTGAATTCATAATATAAGGTGAAGGATACTTGTGGCCTATCCACAGCAACACTGGATAGATATTATAGGTGCACTCAGCTCATTTCCTGAAATAAATAAATTAATAATAATGGTGCAGTGATAACTGCTGAAACTTATTTTTAACTACATTTATATTACTAAAGAAAATAGACTCTTTGTTCACAGTTATTGAAGTAACTACATAGGATTATTATTATTTCTCTGATTAATGGTTATCTCTTCAGTTACTCTTAACTTCAGACTGGGCTGCAGAAATGATGATCTCTAAGTAATATAAATTGACAGCAAACAACGTGTACACTGTATTGGCAGCAATTCTGTCAAGTGCTATTTCAATGACAATTTACTGCCTGGAGCTATTTAAAATTTCTAGGGAAAATACTGTGTAAGCAAGTCCATCATAAAAGAAAAAGTCCCAGAGGGAACAAGACAAACTAAGTATTCACATTATATATATATGTACTTTTTGTAAATAAAACATTTGTACTCCTATATTATAATACTGTACAGTATTTTACTTAAAATTTCTTAATACTTACTGCTGCTTCCCAGCCTTCTATTTCTCCAGCAAGGCGATAGTGATGTTTACGTAGCTCAGAAAGTTTGGAGCGTTCTGTATCGAGCTGCTTCTCTGTTTCTAAGACCTTAACAAGAGTTTCCATCTCCATCCTCTTAGTATAGTGCAAACTCAGCTTTGAAAAGTCTAAGGTACCTGAAAGAAACCAAGAATACAAGCTGAAGTGCGCATCATAGCAAAAATTAGAATAGGCTGGTTACTAACTCTCTGCAGATAACCAGAATGAAACGAGACTTCTATAATAGTTAATTGTAATTCTGAACATTGATTATGTAGACTTATTATTATTTTTTTTTTTTTTTTTTCAACAAGTCGGCCGTATCATAAAATTTCTGAGTAGACAACTTTGTCTTTTCTTATTCCTATTGTTAATCGAGTAACTTACCAGCAATTGCTACTTTATCCCGGCAATTTTCTGCGGTTGCAACAACAGTACCTGTCAATCTTGATATCGTCTTGGCTGTGGCATTAAGGTTACCCAGCTTGACACTAGACTTGTCAGCTTTCACTCTAGAAGCCATCACCAATTGCATGGAGGAAGCAGCAATCTCCCGTGAAGCTACAATCACTTCTTCAAACTTGCCTTTACCACTCACAACTTGATCAGCTGCTGTCCTATATCATATTTATGTTATTTTAGGTTACATGTACTGTAAATCAGATTTAAATATAAAGTTACAAATCAGTGAACTGAAATGTAAAAATGTTAAAGTTATTTAAAACAGTGAACAAACTTTTTGATAAATAGTTTAGTTACCTAATGAATTTTATTAAAACCATACATATTAAATTTTCTTAATCATTACAAGGCTCTTAGCCTAAAAAAAATTGTAATTGTGAAATAAGACCTATACTATAGACCTAATCACATATTCTGGCTCATTTCCCTGGCCTCTAATTATTAGTAGTACATTCATGGGAAGAAGGATAACCACTAAATCCATAAGGGACATACATCATTCAGACTTGACTTAAGGAACTGGAGTACTGGTCCAGTTACTTAGATCAAGAGTTCCTTGCCAGGTATCAAGTAACCTCCCTGGAGGGGGGGGGGGGGCTGAACTCTAATACATTCAGTAATTTAAAAGATGCAGACATACAATACCTAGAAAACTTATCCTCAAGTCTTCTTGTAATCCTCTATGTTGCTGTCTTTGTTAACATTTTATGATTTTCACTCCAGTGTCTGTTAAAATAGCCAAGTGATACTTTCCTTGGCTCTCTTTTTAATGTACAAGCAAATTACTTTTTCTTTTTAACCATACTATCCCTTACAAATGTCTCCCAGACCATTTTTCTTTTTTAATAATGGTAGTATGAGAAGGGATTATCATTTCTTCCATCAATGCACTGCAATAATCTGTGAAGGTCAGCAAAATATGTCTCAATTTTTATTTCAATAGATGGGATACAAGGAGAATAGAAGCATCAGGGAAGAGAGAGGTGAAGGTTTATAAACTAAAAGAGGAGGCAGTTAGGGTAAGATATAAACAGCTATTGGAGGATAGATGGGCTAATGAGAGCATAGGCAATGGGGTCGAAGAGGTATGGGGTAGGTTTAAAAATGTAGTGTTAGAGTGTTCAGCAGAAGTTTGTGGTTACAGGAAAGTGGGTGCGGGAGGGAAGAGGAGCGATTGGTGGAATGATGATGTGAAGAGAGTAGTAAGGGAGAAAAAGTTAGCATATGAGAAGTTTTTACAAAGTAGAAGTGATGCAAGGAGGGAAGAGTATATGGAGAAAAAGAGAGAGGTTAAGAGAGTGGTGAAGCAATGTAAAAAGAGAGCAAATGAGAGAGTGGGCGAGATGTTATCAACAAATTTTGTTGAAAATAAGAAAAAGTTTTGGAGTGAGATTAACAAGTTAAGAAAGCCTAGAGAACAAATGGATTTGTCAGTTAAAAATAGGAGAGGAGAGTTATTAAATGGAGAGTTAGAGGTATTGGGAAGATGGAGGGAATATTTTGAGGAATTGTTAAATGTTGATGAAGATAGGGAAGCTGTGATTTCGTGTATAGGGCAAGGAGGAACGACATCTTGTAGGAGTGAGGAAGAGCCAGTTGTGAGTGTGGGGGAAGTTCGTGAGGCAGTAGGTAAAATGAAACTGGGTCAGGCAGCCGGGATTGATGGGATAAAGATAGAAATGTTAAAAGCAGGTGGGGATATAGTTTTGGAGTGGTTGGTGCAATTATTTAATAAATGTATGGAAGAGGGTAAGGTACCTAGGGATTGGCAGAGAGCATGCATAGTTCCTTTGTATAAAGGCAAAGGGGATAAAAGAGAGTGCAAAAATTATAGGGGGTAAGTCTGTTGAGTATACCTGGCAAAGTGTATGGTAGAGTTATTATTGAAAGAATTAAGAGTAAGACGGAGAATAGGATAGCAGATGAACAAGGAGGCTTTAGGAAAGGTAGGGGATGTGTGGACCAGGTGTTTACAGTGAAACATATAAGTGAACAGTATTTAGATAAGGCTAAAGAGGTCTTTGTGGCATTTATGGATTTGGAAAAGGCATATGACAGGGTGGATAGGGGGGCAATGTGGCAGATGTTGCAGGTGTATGGTGTAGGAGGTAGGTTACTGAAAGCAGTGAAGAGTTTTTACGAGGATAGTGAGGCTCAAGTTAGAGTATGTAGGAAAGAGGGAAATTATTTCCCAGTAAAAGTGGGCCTTAGACAGGGATGTGTGATGTCACCGTGGTTGTTTAATATATTTATAGATGGGGTTGTAAGAGAAGTAAATGCGAAGGTCTTGGCAAGAGGCGTGGAGTTAAAAGATAAAGAATCACACATAAAGTGGGAGTTGTCACAGTTGCTCTTTGCTGATGACACTGTGCTCTTGGGAGATTCTGAAGAGAAGTTGCAGAGATTGGTGGATGAATTTGGTAGGGTGTGCAAAAGAAGAAAATTGAAAGTGAATACAGGAAAGAGTAAGGTTATGAGGATAACAAAAAGATTAGGTGATGAAAGATTGGATATCAGATTGGAGGGAGAGAGTATGGAGGAGGTGAATGTATTCAGATATTTGGGAGTGGACGTGACAGCGGATGGGTCTATGAAAGATAAGGTGAATCATAGAATTGATGAGGGGAAAAGGGTGAGTGGTGCACTTAGGAGTCTGTGGAGACAAAGAACTTTGTCCTTGGATGCAAAGAGGGGAATGTATGAGAGTATAGTTTTACCAACGCTCTTATATGGATGTGAAGCATGGGTGATGAATGTTGCAGCGAGGAGAAGGCTGGAGGCAGTGGAGATGTCATGTCTGAGAGCAATGTGTGGTGTGAATATAATGCAGAGAATTCGTAGTTTGGAAGTTAGGAGGAGGTGCGGGATTACCAAAACTGTTGTCCAGAGGGCTGAGGAAGGGTTGTTGAGGTGGTTCGGACATGTGGAGAGAATGGAGCGAAACAGAATAACTTCAAGAGTGTATCAGTCTGTAGTGGAAGGAAGGCGGGGTAGGGGTCGGCCTAGGAAAGGTTGGAGGGAGGGGGTAAAGGAGGTTTTGTGTGCGAGGGGCTTGGACTTCCAGCATTCATGCGTGAGCGTGTTTGATAGGAGTGAATGGAGACAAATGGTTTTTAATACTTGACGTGCTGTTGGAGTGTGAGCAAAGTAACATTTATGAAGGGGTTCAGGGAAACCAGCAGGCCGGACTTGAGTCCTGGAGATGGGAAGTACAGTGCCTGCACTCTGAAGGAGGGGTGTTAATGTTGCAGTTTAAAAACTGTAGTGTAAAGCACCCTTCTGGCAAGACAGTGATGGAGTGAATGATGGTGAAAGTTTTTCTTTTTCGGGCCACCCTGCCTTGGTGGGAATCGGCCAGTGTGATAAAAAAAAAAATATTTTCATTTTTGGATTCCACTGATGTCTTCATTTCAGGTAGTCTTTTTTTGTAAGCAACACAAAGTGCTAAACCCATTGAGGTGTGGGAAATAGGTGGGAATTAGGTTTAACCCAATGAAGAGAAGGGTAGTTTTAATTTCTTTTATCAAGACTCCTTCACAAGTGAAGTCCGACAGCACCTAAGAAACTGTGCAAACTGCTGCTAAGATATAAGCAAAGCCAAAGAGAAGACCCATCAATAGCAGCAAGAGTATCCCTTTTATTTCTCCCACCATTATTTCTATACATAACAAAAGACACCAGCTCTATATAAACGAATAATGCTTTTAACATTTATCAGGGAGGAGATGGATGGATGTACGTACGTACGTATGTATGTATGTATGTATGAGTACCTACATGAGAGCTTGGCAAGCAATAGCAACGGTTTTTGCACCCGAGAGTAGACCCTCCGTCCAGCGATGATTGCGTTTGTAAAACTCTCGAGGGGAAGCTCCTCCTTTCCCTGCATCCACTATTTCTTTCTGAAGCTCTGCCGCCCTTTGAACTAATAATCTAACTGCTGCCATCAAGTCGCTGCAGGTTCCAAGAATGCTTTCATTTACCTGTACACAATAATTTTTTTAATTTATAATATAATTTGTTGATTTATAATAAAAGTGAATAATTTTTTAGCTTGGCTAGATATAGAGAATTATACGAGTAATTCTGAAAATTAAATTACATTAACTTCTGAATGAAATATCAAAATGTGGTCAAAAAAATTAGATGCATACCAGAAATCTTATCATATGCACTTCAAACAAAGAAGGCTGTTTAAAAAAAAAAAATATTAAATAAATTTTTCTTTTATGCATTACATGAACAAAATTATACATAAACATTTGCAAATATTAACAATTACTAATCACAAAAACACTATATCCACCCTCTAATTCAGTAAATTAAGAAGTCAACAAATGCACATTATTTAATGCAATACAGCCTCTCCTCACTTAATGACGGAGTTGTGGTCTGAAGACCACGTCAGTAAATGAATTCATTGCTAAGTGAGGAACATACTATAATGGTAGTGGGTTTGTGTCAACTATCTTCGATACTGATTTAATGTCACCTTTACACCATTTATAATATTTCTGCTATACAGTGGAACCTCTACTTGTGAGTTTAATCTATTCCGTGACCTTGCTCACATCTGAATTTACTCAGTTGCAGAGTCCATTTTCCTCATTTAAATTAATTGAAATGCAATTAATTCGTTCCAGCTCTCAGGAGGCACGACAAGATACTTCAATATTTTGCTAATATCATCTATATGGCTTATTTATCTATCACAATTCATCTAATCCTAGGTAGTAGGTTGGTAGACAGCAACCGCCCAGGGAGGTCCTACCGTCCTGCCAAGCGAGTGTAAAACGAAAGCCTGTAATTATTTTACATGATGGTAGGATTGCTGGTGTCCATTTTTCTGTCTCATAAACATGCAAGGTTTCAGGTATGTCTTGCTACTTCTACTTACACTTAGGGCACACTACATACATGTACAAGCATATATATACACACACCCCTCTGGGTTTTCTTCTATTTTCTTACTAGTTCTTGTTCTTGTTTATTTCCTCTTATCTCCATGGGGAAGTGAAACAGAATTCTTCCTCCATAAGCCATGCGTGTTGTAAGAGGTGACTAAAATGCCAGGAGCAAGGGGCTAGTAACCCCTTCTCCTGTATAAATTACTAAATTTAAAAAGAGAAACTTTCGTTTTTCTTTTTGGGCCACCCTGCCTTGGTGGGATACGGCCGGTTTGTTGAAAGAATAATAATTCATCTAATATGACATAATAAACAATATAAATACAGTAGACTGTCATTTAACATGAGTTAATTTGGCATGATTTGGGTATGGCACGATTTCCTCAAGCGGATGCCTTGTTGTGGATCAGTCGAGGAGACCTCCCGCCATTCCCTGCTACCCCCCGACACCACCCCACCATTTGTACTTCATACATGTCCAGTCTTTCTCTGCTACCAGCTAGCTGTTTGTGAATTGTGTTTTGATCTTTTAATTACCATAGCTTGTATCTGCCAAGCAATCATGACACCCAGTAGGCATACCAGTGTTGCTGAAAGTGGCAAGAAAAGTATAAGCATTTAAGTCTTAGAATTAATGAAGCAAACAAAGATATCAAACAAGAGATAACTTGTGGCCCTAATGAAGTGTTACTTTGTACACATAAAAAGAGGTAAACATAAGTTTGTGTGACTGACTTACTGAATGACCTTCTGAATGACTGACTGACGTACTACTTACTTAATGATTTACTGACTGACCGACTTACTGAATGATGACTTACTGACTGACTGAATGATTTAAAGTTAGACACTCCAGTACAACCATTGACTTCAGTACCAGAACCTCTACCATCCACCTCAGCCCAGTACGGCCACAACATAACTCTCCACTCTCTTCACAATCATCCACAAACACCAGCACCCACAATTTAAGGTAAGAAATACTATTATTTCTGTTACGTTTGTAGTCTTAAGCAGTAAAAACAACATAATACATCACAACATTGAACTACAATTACATATTCACTTTTATTCTTGTAAGATGTAGAGGCCTAAAAAAAATGTTTGGCTTTTTTTTTTTTTTTGGGGGGGGGGGGGGGACTCAGGAACATAACCCTATTTTTCCCATAAGTTCTTCAGTTCACCTAACACAGCATTTTCAGGAATGTAACTTCTGTGACTTAAGAAATCGTAATGACACGATTGCAAATAAACCATACCCCCGGCCGGGATTGAACCCGCGGTCATAGAGTCTCAAAACTCCAGCCCGTCGCGCTAGCCACTAGACCAGCTAGCCACAATAAGATTCATCCAACTAGGTATATTTCTACACCATAGGAAAGTTAGCACAGGCACCTCTGTGACCACAAATGCAAGTTTTGCATTTGTGGTCACAGAGGTGCCTGTGCTAACTTTCCTATGGTGTAGAAATATACCTAGTTGGATGAATCTTATTGTGGCTAGCTGGTCTAGTGGCTAGCGCGACGGGCTGGAGTTTTGAGACTCTATGACCGCGGGTTCAATCCCGGCCGGGGGTATGGTAACTTCTGTGTTAATCCTTTCAGGGTCACCAGGCCCTCTCCGAGACTTGTTCTCAGGGTCGTCAAATTAAAAAAAAAAAAAAAAAAAAAAAAAAAAAAATCTTTTGGAATGATAGAGAATCCTTTCCCGATCATAATGACGCCAAAAGTATGAAATTTGATGGAAAACTTACGGAATTATGCTCTCGCGAAGTTAGCGGTCTCGAAGATATTTACGCATCGGCGATTTTGCCCACTTTGAGCCCTATTGTCGGACAATTCCAGTGTACTAGTCGACAAAAATCATAACTATTTCGCTAGAACTCCATTTTTTCTATCTAATGAGTACAAGAAACCACCCATTTACCGATTTCAACTATCCAATAAAGTGGTCAGAATTTAGCAATTTTGCCAATTTCACACAAATTTCAAAAGATGCCAATTTCTGAATAGGATCTAGAATAAACAAGAAAGACATTCCTGGCACTAAAATAACATTTCCTCTGTTCATTCGTCACGTCCCCACGCCCCTCTTACATTCTTTTGCTTTCCACTTTGAATTTTTATTCTCACAAAAAAATAGAAGATTTACTGTTATGCAGACTACTGCATTAGTGTAGAAATGGTGTAAATAATATCAGCGCACTTGTGAAAGAATATTAGACTCACCAGTTGATGTGTATGGGACATGTAGCATGATTTGTTTACTTTTGAACTTTGGTAAAAATCGAACATTTCTGCTACTTTGAGCTCAATTTCAAGGTACTTTTCATTGTAAAACAAGTCAAAATCATCTCAATTTCTGTAATATGTCTTCTACTCTATAAAATGAGACCAGGAAAACTAGAATACAACAATAAATGCCATACGAAAATACAGTGCAAAGTCGCTGTTTTAATCCAAAAACACGGTCAAAGTTTTTTTTTCTAATTACGCACTGTGTGCTGCAGGATTTTTTTTTTATACTGCACACACTGACCACATAGACCCATTCTTTCATATGTATGCCTACCAGCTTTCTCTCACTTGATTTGAGGGCGCTAGAATTTAGGCGTACTAGTATGTCGAAAACCCTGGTGCATAAGCCGTACTAGTACGTCTGAAACCCTGAAAGGGTTAAATGACGGTCTACTGCAACATAGAAACCTGATATATATATATATGTTAAATGATTGTCTACTGCAACATAGAAACCTGATATATAAGCATTTAAGTCTTAGAATTAACGAAGCAAATAATGATATCAGACAAGAGATAACTTGTGGCCCTAATGAAGTGTTACTTTGTACACATAAAAAGAGGTAAACATAAGTTTGTGTGACTGACTGAATGACTTACTGAATGACCTTCTGAATGACTGACTTTCTGAATGGCTGACTGACTGATGTACTGACTTACTGACTGACCAACTTACTGAATGACGACTTACTGACTGAATGATTTAAAGTTAGACACTCCAGTACAACCACTGACTTCAGTACCAAAACCTTTACCATCCACCTCAGCCCAGTAGGGCCACAGTATAACTCTCCACTCTCTTCACAATCATCCACAAACACCAGCACCCACAATTTAAGGTAAGAAATACTATTATTTGTTACAGTTGTTGTCTTAAGCAGTAAAAACAACATAATACATTACAACAATGAACTACAATTACTTATTCATTTTCATTCTTGTAAGATGTAGAGGCCTAAAAAAAAAATGTTTGGCTTTTTTGGGGCTCTCAGGAACGTAACCCTATTTTCCCCACAAGTTCTTCAGTTCACCTAACACAGCATTTTCAGGAACGTAACTTCTATGTTAAATGACGGTCTACTGCAACATAGAAACCTGATATATACTCTAGAATGAATAAAATGTCAGTCACGTATTGGTATCGGCAGCGTTGGCGGTTGACGAGAGTTTGTCTGGAGACAGAACTAAATACTCCTTCAATATTTTGCTAATATCGACTCTACAGCTTATTTATCTATCACGCTTCATCTAATATGACATAATAAACAACATAAATGACATAGAAACCTGATATATACTATAGAATGACTAAAATATATCATTATGTGACAGGTGGAGGCAGCCATAACTGTTCCCACATTGTTGTGATATTCACTGCCATCCAGTGAAAGGATTCAGGAAAATCGGTTATTTTTATATAGCTGGACTTGAGTTCTGGAAATGGGAAGTACCATGCCTACACTTTAAAGGAGGGGTTTGGGATATTGGCTGTTTGGAGGGATGTGTAATAGGATGGTATATATATAATTGGGGCCCTGATATTATATTCTATATAGAGTTAATTATATTATTTCAGGTCACTGTTTATATTATATCTTTACATATACTTCTAAGCTGTTGTATCTGGGTGCCTCTGCAAAATCAGTGTTTATATACGAGTGAGGTGAAAATGTTGAATGCTGATGAAAGTATTTTAGCTTTGGGGATTTTTTTTTTCTTTCTTTTTGGGTCACCCTGCCTAGGTGGGAGACGGTTGACTTAAATAATTTGTAATTTTTATTCACACAAAAAATAGAAGATTTACTGTTATGCAGACTACTGCATTATTGTAATAATTGTATAAATAATGTCAACCCATTCATGACTGCATATTGAAATGGACAGTGACGTCATTTGTTTACTCTAGAACATCACCAAAGAATCGAACATTTCTGCTACTTTGAGCTCAATTTCAAGGTACTTTCCGTGGTGAAACCAATCAAAATCAAATCTATTTCTGTAATATATCTTCCATTCTATCAAATAAGACCAAAAATACGAGAATACAACCAGAAAAAACCATACGAAAATACCACTAAGGGGCAGCTAATGGCTGAGAAGTGAACTCCGTTATTTATGGTCCGATTTCTTTCATTTTTAGTGTATGTTAAGAAGCATCTTTCCATCATACATTGCCCAAGCTTCAATAAGATAGCCCAACAAATAAGTGAGATCCAATTCCCTAGATAAAGAGCAAGAGCCCCTCACCAGCATCAAGGAACCTCCGTTGAGGCTCACTTGCATCTGGAAATTTTGCTCGTGTCTGGAAGCAAAAAATCGACCGAGTGACTGCTCATAACTGGAAAAACTCGCAAGTGGATGCACTCATAAGTCGAGGTTCCACTGTATTTTTAAATGTTTATACAGTAGTGCACTGCATATTGTAATAAACACAACAGAAGAAATCAGCTCTACTATACATTATTTAGGTATGCATACTGGTCAGAGAGCCCGTCATAAGTCCAAGGCGTTGGTAAATGAGTACGTCGCTAAGTGAGGAGAGGCTGTAGTTAATAACATTCTGTTAGTTCAAAAAATGCCATGTTCCTGTCACAGTTCAAATTCTAAGGGCAAGAACAGATGAAAATAGTTATCATAGCAAAGATACTCAATGATTAGTGATACTAATAAACACAGGATGGTAAAAATAGTTTACTAATTAATATCAACACAAATGCAGTGCTTCAAGAAAAGTAAAAGCTGTCTAAATAATTGAAAAAAAAAAAAAAAAAAAAAATTTTCAAAATATCTGATGGAGACTACTGGATAAACATGAGATGATATCCAGAGGGGGCTTGAAATTTACACATCAAGTTAGTTATACCACATTACTTTTGACATCAGAAACACACAAAACACTTAAAAAACTGTAAGGAAAAACTTAAGCCACAACTGCATCTCTGCACCTTTCCTAACTTAATCTGAAAATTGGTAAAATTAAGTAAATTTATAATATTTGAAACATACTCAATATGCACATCAGCAAAATTCTAATTATCTCCTCATTCTTACAAATATTCATAAATACAAAATATATAAAAATGTACATTACTATGCATCTTACTTTTTAGGTGCTACATCATTCTATAGGGAACAAGAAAAAATTAAACTAAATCTAGGTAAATAAAAAAAATAAATGATACCATTTTTCACACCAAGGGACAGTGATAAAAAAAGAAAACTCATTCATCATCACCCATTTCTCTGGTGTCTTTCAAGATCTATTAAAATTGAAATAACCTACCAAACCATAACATACCATCTAACCTTTAAAGTGCAGGTACAATACCTCTCACCTCCCACCTCCACAACTCAAATGGTTTACACTGAATCCCTTCATGGATATTATCTTGCTCTCATTCCAACAGTTTGTAATATTTCATAAACCTTTTGTTCCCACTCATTCCAATATAATAGCTTCACACATACCTGATGGATGCCAAAATACTTCGTTACAACTTACCTCTAGCTGTGTGCCTGTATCTTTAGCTCGAGAATTTTCTAACATGGCAGTGAACTTTTCAACAGCATCCCTAATGGCAGTATCCATATTCTCCATTTCTCGCTGTACTACGGAAGCCATATCTTCTATTCCAGGGCTATGATCTTCACACAAGGAAACCAGTGAACAGCACCTATAAACAAAATGTACTTGTAAATAATGGATAACATGCTTCTAGTAAAATATTCATGGAAAAAGCTAAGCTTATAATGGTAATTCAGCATTGCATGGCAGAGGTGAGAGAGATGGTGCAGAATGGGGATAAGGGAGGGAAATAATGCTGAGGAAAAGACATGGACTGTAAGGATGGGACTCACAACTGATTTAGCAATTTAATGTTGGTTAAGAACCACAGAATCTGCAGCAAAGGAGGGATCACCAGAGAAAATGGTGGGCAAAGTTAACATGTCTGGGTACTAAAGAAAGATTTTTAATATGGGTACCAGGCATCCATATTAAAAAAAGAAAGGTAGGTACTAACTGAACAAAGTCAAAGAAAAAGGGAAACTAACTGATTAAATGTTTTTTATACTTTACATAAATATAGATTCAGCATTCTTAAAAAATAAAATAAAATGACTAAAAGTAAAAAAAAATCTACATTTCTGAGACTTTGGAGAATGATGAACAGTCAGTGGTTCTTTTATTATAATGCATGACAATTATGGTTTAATAATATATGTCCAAGCTTCCTAGACTGAAGTCAAGCCAAGTGGTTTTTGGGATGTAATGTGCTGTCAGTGGAGAGCAACTTAACATTAATGAAGGGAGATAGCTACTGAATGAGTGATGGTGAAGGTTTCCTTGTTTGGATCACCCTAAATTGACGAGAGTGTGCCAATGTGGTAGGAGATAAATAATAAGAAAAGAATAATACCTCTCAAACCTTTCCTTGGTTGTTAAGATATCCGCTAGAGCTTGTTTTGTACGCATCCTTCCAAGGCTATCAATACATTCCTTGGCAAATTGCTCCAGAGAAGCAACAAGATCTGTTGAGATTTTGTTAAAATTAAGGCACTTCAAAGTACATTTTTAAGACTACAATAACCAAGTAAGGCATTAAAAGCATTTCTTTCTGGGGTCATCCTGCCTCAGTGGGAGACAGCCAATGTGTTTGTATTTATCCATCTAGATAATAGATTGGTAGACAGCAATCATCTAGGAAGTTACTACCGTTGTGTCATATGAGTGTGAAACAGAAACCTATTTTACTTCCATAAGGTACAAAGTTTTTACCTAGGTAGTAGGTTGGTAGACAGCAACCGCCCAGGGAGGTACTACCGTCCTGCCAAGTGAGTGTAAAACGAAAGCTTGTAATTGTTTTACATGATGGTAGGATTGCTGGTGTCCTTTTTTCTGTCTCATAAACATGCAAGATTTCAGGTACGTCTTGCTACTTCTACTTACACTTAGGTCACACTACACATACATGTACAAGCATATATATACACACCTCTCTGGGTTTTCTGCTATTTTCTTTCTAGTTCTTATTCTTGTTTATTTCCTCTTATCTCCATGGGGAAGTGAAACAGAATTCTTCCTCCATAAGCCATGTGTGCTGTAAGAGGCAACTAAAATGCCGGGAGCAAGGGGCTAGTAACCCCTTCTCCTGTATAAATTACTAAATTTAAAAAGAGAAGCTTTTGTTTTTCTTTTTGGGCCACCCTGCCTTGGTGGGATATGGCCAGTTTGTTGGAAAAAAAAAAAAGTTTTTATGTATAAAGTTAGATAATAATAGTACAATACATTAGATAATAATAGTACAATATATGCATATAGAAAGTCCCTGGTTATGCACAGCATTTTGGGTAAGCTAAAAACATGACAAAATTGATAAATATTTTTAAAACACACTGGCTCTCTCCCACTGAGGCAGGGTAACTCAAAAAAAGAAACTTTCACCATCATTCACACTATCACTGTCTTGCAGAGGCACACAGAATGGCAATTTAGATGGTCCTCCAAACAGCAAATGTTCCCACCCCTCCTTTACAGTGCAGGACTGTACTTCCCACCTCCAGGACTCAAGTCCGGCTAATTGGTCTCCCTGATTTCCTTCACAAAATGTTACCCCGCTCAAACTCAACAGTTTGTCAGATCCAAACACAAATTGCCTCCACTCACTCCTGTCTAACATGTTCATACATGCCTGCTGGATGTCCAAGACCCTTGCACACAAAAACTTCCTTTACCCCCTCCCTCCATCCTATCATAGGACGGCCCCTACCCTGCCTTTCACTACAGATTTATACACCCTTTAATTCATCCTATTTTGCTCCATCCTCTCTAAATGATCAAACCACCTCAACAACCCCTCCTCAGCCCTCTGGATAATACTTTTAGTAACTCAAACAGTTCATGCACGCAAGCGTGCATGAGCGTGTTAGATAGGAGTGAATGGAGACGAATGATACTTGGGACCTGACGATCTGTTGGAGTGTGAGCAGGGTAATATTTAGTGAAGGGATTCAGGGAAACCGGTTATTTTCATATAGTCGGACTTGAGTCCTGGAAATGGGAAGTACAATGCCTGCACTTTAAAGGAGGGGTTTGGGATATTGGCAGTTTGGAGGGATATGTTGTGTATCTTTATACGTATATGCTTCTAAATTGTTGTATTCTGAGCACCTCTGCAAAAGCAGTGATAATGTGTGAGTGTGGTGAAAGTGTTGAATGATGAATGTATTTTCTTTTTGGGGATTTTCTTTCTTTTTTGGGTCACCCTGCCTCGGTAGGAGACGGCCGACTTGTTGAAAAAAAAAAAAAAAAAAAAAAAAACGTAGTCTGAATATACAGGAGGGCCCCAATTATACGGCTGGTTAGGTTCCAGGCTACCGCCGTAAAGCGGAAACCGCCGTAAAGTGGAACACCCTTTTTTTCCACTTACAAATGCATACAGACACTAGATAACAAGTTTACACTAACATATATTAAGTTAGCAATAGAACCAGGCATCAAAAAAACAATAAAAAAGTACAATACACACATAGTGCACTCATTACTTACCTTAAAATATTTATAGTCTTGATGAGAGTAAGACACATGTGCAACATCTGGGTATCTTTATTGTAGACGTTTCGCCATCCAGTGGCTTTATCAATACAAATTCTAGGACATAACTTGAAGACAGTAGAACTATGTACAGAAGATGAGGTAATCAGTCCCTCAAACTAGGAGTAGGTGCGAACAGCACCATAGTCGTGGAGATTCTGAAGCAGAAGAAAGAATCCTGGCGCTTATATAGTAACGTCAGGTGTAGCAGACGAGGGCATATTCACTGGTAGGCGGGATTCCCCAGTGGAAGTAGGTCCTTCCCAAAGAGATGGGTTTAGTTTAGAAGTAGTTGTCGTAGTCGTGAAGGTATGTACATGTCCTCAGAATTAAGATTCCATGATTTGCAGTGTCTGACAAGTTGTGTACGAAATGGTATATATACCGACAAGATGAGAGTAAGACCATGTGCAACATCTGGGTATCTTTATTGTAGACGTTTCGCCATCCAGTGGCTTTATACAATACAAATTCTAGGACATAACTGAAGACAGTAGAACTATGTACAGAAGATGAGGTAATCAGTCCCTCAAACTAGGAGTAGGTGCGAACAGCACCATAGTCGTGGAGATTCTGAAGCAGAAGAAAGAATCCTGGCGCTTATATAGTAACGTCAGGTTGTAGCAGACGAGGGCATATTCACTGGTAGGCGGGATTCCCCAGTGGAAGTAGGTCCTTCCAAAAGATGGGTTAGTTGTAGAAGTAGTTGTCGTAGTCGTGAAGGTTATGTACATGTCCTCAGAATTAAGATTCCATGATGTTGCAGTGTCTGACAAGTTGTGTACGAAATGGTATATAATACCGACAAGATGAGAGTAAGACACAGTGCAACATCTGGGTATCTTTAATGTAGACGTTTCGCCATCCAGTGGCTTTATCAATACAAATTCTAGGACATAACTTGAAGACAGTAGAACTATGTACAGAAATGAGGTAATCAGTCCCTCAAACTAGGAGTAGGTGCGAACAGCACCATAGTCGTGGAGATTCTGAAGCAGAAGAAAGAATCCTGGCGCTTATATAGTAACGTCAGGTGTAGCAGACGAGGGCATATTCACTGGTAGGCGGGATTCCCAGTGGAAGTGTTACTTCCCATAAGGCAGGATTTTACTTTCGTTCAGAACTCAGACTCTGTCGCCTATCTAGTTTGAGGACTATTACATATCCTTCAGAATAGATTCTACATGTCTTCAGATGTCTAAATTTGTATGAAGCCACTGGTATGGGAATACGCTACAATAGAAGTACCAGATGTTGCACATGTCTTACTCATCTTGGGTATCTTTATTTAACCTTTCGACATCCAGTGGCTTGTCATGCAAATCTGGATCTAATTTGAAGGACATGAACTACTTCACGACAAGAAACGTCTTTAAACTAAATTTTTGGAAGACCTACTCCATGGGGAATTCGCTACAGAGAAAGAACCCTGCTGCTACACTGAGTACTCATTAGCGCAGGGATTTTTCCTGTTCGATCCCAGAACTATGGTGCTTTCCGCAACTCCTAGGAGATGTTAGATTCTGTAGAATGTCTAGTCTTCAGTAGTCTGAATTTTATTGATAAACCACTGGATGGCCTCTACAATTAAGATACCATGATGTTGCCATGTGTCTACATTAGTACCGGTATATATACACGACACAACTAGTCAGACACATGCAACATCTGGTATCTTATCTGAGACGATTAATCCTTCCAGACTACGCTTATTCTAAACAAATCTCTTTGAGACTATTAACTGTGGGAACGCTACAGTAGATACCTTTGTACATGCTTATATATAGCGTATATCCATTTCTTCCTTCAAATCTAGATATGGTGCCAGCACCATATCTAGTAGGGAGATTCCTATTGCAGTAGAAGTCACTGCCAGTTATCTAGTAACGTCAGTTGTAAGCCACGGAGCGAGCATAAATTCCATGTTGCATGTGGCTTCTCCCATGCGGTAATAAACCATTATCGTTACACAACTTATAACGCCATTGGAATCTTAATTCTGGGCATGTCAGAATCATCCGACACATTTACCATGGTGAACCCGCGTACCCTGATATTATATCCGTTTTTTCATCTCTACTCCTAGTTTGAGGGACTGATTACCTCATCTTCTGTACATAGTTCTACTGTCTTCAAGTTATGTCCTAGAATTTGTATTGATAAAGCCACTGGATGGCGAAACGTCTACAATAAAGATACCCAGATGTGGCACATGTGTCTTAATCTCATCTTGTCGGTATTATGTACCATTCGTACACAACTTGTCAGACACTGCAACATCATGGAATCTTAATTCTGAGGGCATGTACATAACCTTCACGACTACGACAACTACTACTACAACTAACCCATCTCTTTGGGAAGGACCTACTTCCACTGGGGAATCCCGCCTACCATGAATATGCCCTCGTCTCTACACCTGCTTACTATATAAGCGCCAGGATTCTTTCTTCTGCTTCAGAATCTCCACGACTATGGTGCTGTTGCACCTACCAGTTTGGGATGATTACCTCATTCGGAATAGTTCTAGTCTTAAATATGTTAGAATTTGTATTGATAAAACACTGGATGGCGAAACGTCAAAAATAAAGATACCAATGTTGCACATGTGTCTTACTCTCATCTTGTCGGTATTATAAACCATTTGTACACAATTGTAAAATCAACATATGGAATTTAATTTGAAAGAAAAAACGATAGACAACACCTACAACTAACCCACTCTTTGGAAGGACTATTCCAGGGAATTAATGAATATCCTCGCTGCTACTGGCGTTAAATAAGGAGGATTTTTTGTTAAATTCAAGACTATGGTGCTGTTCGCACCATCCTATTTGAGGGACCCGATTACCTCATCTTCTGTCATAGTTTTTACTGTCCCCAAGTTATTCCTAGAATTTGTATTGATAAAGCCATGGATGGCGAAACGTCTACAATAAAGAACCCAGATGTTGCACATGTGTCTTACTCTCATCTTGTCGGTATTATATACCATTTGTACACATTTATGTCTTAATCTAGGGTGAAAACAAGTAGTATTTATTGTAAGAAATCAAGTGGTGGTATGTATGGTAGTCAGCCAGGCTACCATACCAGGCCACCCCACCCACACATACAATTCTATGATATTTAAGCATCCCAGAGCGATAAAATGTATATACAGTTCACTCATTACTTACCTTAAAATATAGGGTGAGATGAGTAGTATTTATTGTAAAAAATCAAGTGTGGTATGTATGGTAGTCAGCCGGGCTACCATACCAGGCCAACCCACCTACACATAATATTCTATTACATTTAAGCATCCCAGAGCGATAAAATGTATATACAGTTCACTCATTACTTACCTTAAAATATTTGTAGTCTTAATGTAGGGTCAGGAGAAAAGTAAATGAGATAAAACAAATAAATGAGAGAGAGAAAGAATGAGTGCATGAGAGAGGACAGGCGCAGAAATATGTAAACAAACCAGGCGAAGGTAAGTTTTGTAAACAAAGTGTACACGTCTGGTTTGTGTACAAGTTACATTGTGTACAGGTTGTCTCTACATTGATACGGTAGAATAAATAAAGAAGAAACACTCCATTCTCATGTAACATCATTTTGAGAAGAAATGATGCTCTGAGTGAAGGCAAATGGAATAAGTCACTCTGACTTTTTTGGGTTATCCTAGGTTCTCTACACATATGTTGTTATGTATGATAATCTATGTAACTGTATTTGTGTATACCTGAATAAACTTACTTACATACATACGAAAGGAATAATTTTCTACAATTACCCCCAGTAACACATTTTCTCTTATGTTAGATTAGACAAAATGTTATTCTTGGCATCACTTGTACAAGTTATCTGGCTACCACATCTCATATTTATGTTTATTTATTCTATTGTAGGGTGTATTTATCATTTTTTTATGTTATGTATCGTGTTTATTATATAATTTTGAAAAAAATATCATGGATGGATTAATGAAAATGTGTATATTAACGTAATATACAACATTTAATGAGACTCGGTGATTATTATTATTATTATTAGCATTTCTAATATGGCGTCACTTGTGCAAGTCGTCTGCTACCACATCTCATTTTTTTTTTTTTTTTTTTTTTTCAACAAGTCGGCCGTCTCCCATCTTTTTATGTTATGTATCGTGTTTATTATATAATTTTGAAAAAATATCATAGATGGATTAATGAAAATGTGTATTTAACGTAATATACGACATTTAAATGAGACTCGATGATTATTATCATTACTAATATGACGTTTGGAGACATAAGACACTCTTACTGATTTTAATGTGTACCTGCATGCCAGCACAGTATGTAAGTTTATTTAAGTACAGGTATACATAAGTATAATTATCAGAGTATATATAAAATATGAAATAACTTTTAAAAACATTTGAAATTTTGGAGTTTCCAGACAAAATGGAGAGACTTAGTGCTTACTGAGCTCACGAAGAATGTAAACAAACAAGGTGGGGCGCGGTGACCGTATTAGAAAGTCAGGTGGGGGGAGCAGTATAGCGAGTTTTGGTCATAATTTGAAATGACCGTATTAGCGGAACCGTAAAGTGAAACGCCGTAAAGCGGGGCCCTGCTGTATAACAAGAAATTGTGTCTACTGTTATGAATTTTTCTCTCTTTCAACACACTGGCTGTATCCCACCAAGGCGGGGTGGCCCAAAAGGAAAAATGAAAGTTTCTCCTTTTACATTTAGTAATATATACAGGAGAAGGGGTTACTAGCCCCTTGCTCCCGATATTTCAGTCGCCTCATACAACACGCATGGCTTACGGAGGAAGAATTCTGTTCCACTTCCCCATGAAGATAAGAGGAAATAAACAGAAACAAGAACTAGAAAAAAATAGAAGAAAACCCAGAGGGGCGTGTGTATATATGCTTGTACATGTATGTGTAGTGCGACCTAAGCGTAAGAAGTAGCAAAACGTACCTGAAATCTTGCATGTTTATGAGACAGAAAAAAGACACCAGCAATCCTACCATCATGTATAACAATTACAGGCTTTCGTTTTACACTTACTTGGCAGGACGGTAGTACCTCCCTGGGTGGTTGCTATCTACCAACCTACTACCTACACTGTTATGAATTAAATACTTAAATATAAAAAAAGGAAATAAGAAGAATGACTCACTTTCTGCATGTTCAATATTTGGGCTGGCATGTGAGGTGGCCTTTGCATAAAGTAGAAAAGTAGCAATGTAATGAGCAGTTGAGGAGATGCTGGTGATGAGGTATGGGGCTGCATGGAAACTGCTGATATACGATTCGTATGAACTCCAAAGCTTTGTCAGAGAATCTACCACCAATGCATGGTATGCCAGAGTGTATTCTGTAATACAGTGCACAAAATTAAAATCTGCTAATGCTAAGATTTATAGGCTTAATTTTCATGTACACTAATATATTTTTAATGAATTAACATTTTACATCTGATCAATCAGTCATGTTAAGCACTGTTAGGCATGGTCAATATCTGGACGCATGACTATGCGGACACATTTTTGAACTTTGCTAGGAGAATCATGCTAAACACAGATTTTCTATTTCTGACAACATACAGAATGTACCTTATAGCATACAATATACAGGTATTAATTTTTAATTACAGAAAGAAATGAATATGGAAGCCACAGATAGGGTCAAGCACCAAGCAAAAAGATAATGACAAAACAAAAGCTCATGTGAATTGCAGGGTTCAACCATATATTTACAGTTAATGAGAATTATGGGGGTCAAATTGTATACTGACTGTGATCTTCCTATAAACCATCAAATTAAAAATAAATTTAAATACATGTTTCTATGACTTTCTTGTTGTTTGTATGTCATTACAGTACCAATGTACAGCTAGAGGAACAAGAGCTTTGCTCTGTTTCATGTTTAATCTATAGTTTATTTAAATTTCTACTGGTTGTATCACAATCTTTTCTTGTACCTCACTGCACTGTTAATAACACAAGAAAGAAGGAACACTGCAACAGGCCTACTGGCCTATGCAAGGCAGGTCCAATTCCCCTACTGGCTTAAGCTCACTGACCTAGTGACCTTAGGCTCACCGACCGTCTGACCTCACTGACCTAGTGAGGTCAGACACGTCACTGTTCTTGCACTGTGAAGAAAAAAACTGTAGTATCTCATTTCCTCTGCTTTTCTATCCGTTTATAACAGTGGCTTTTTGTTTTTCCAAGTTGATGGTATCAATTTTTTTTTATCATTTTATGACACTACATTACCAGCTCATGAAGGTACCCGAGAGGAATTTTGTAACATGTTTCTGAACATTTTCCATTTCATCCCCCTTTTTTAATTTTTTTTTTAGGTGTAGACACCACACTACCATTACACAAGACATTTCTGATCTAAATACACTGTGAATGTGTTTTCAGAATCTCTATTTTTGGGTAGAAACCTATCTCTCTCTCTCTCACTACAGTGCACTAGATAAAAAGGAAAAATTACAGATAAAGTACACAAGAAAATTCCTTAAGGTTTTGGTTACATCAGCATAAATAATGCAATACTAAAATCAAGTAGATTTTTATTTATTTTATTGTGCTAAACCCTGTGAACTTATTCAGCAGAGTGGTGGAGGCTCCATCCTCCATATGCTACTTATGATACACAAACTTGCTTACTTGTCTTTAATTACTTATCCAAGTGATTTCTGGCATTCATAAATTTGGGCATCTTTATTATTAAGTGAATTTTTATTCTATATCAGCAAAGAGAAATAATTTTTATCAATTAAATTACTAATATATATATTAATATTTTAAATATTAAAAGAATCAAGTGGAACCAGCTTCAACTTACCTGGTGTACACTTGATATCTGCATGAGTCTCAAGATCAAAGTGGGAGAGAGCATGTGAGACCACAATCAATGCTCCATCTACAGCTCCTTCAACACACTTGTGAACACCACCTTCCCAGCTATTCTGGACAACTGTCACCTACGTACAAGATAAAAATCAGTCTTAGAAGTTTTATCTAAAATTCAAACACCATCTTAGTCATCCTATTTTGTTCCATCCTCTTTAAATCTCAAAAACCTCTTCTCAGCCCTCTGAGCTGCTCTTTTGGTAAACCCACATTGTCTCCTATTTTTTTTTTTAGCTCAATAACTATCTCCCACCAAGGTAGGGTAACCCAAAGAAAACACATTCACAAACATTCACTCAAATGCTTTCCTGAAGTGTGATTACATCATAATCAAACCACTTCTTGAACTGTCCATACCCACCACCCTTCCTTCAGAGTGCAGGCACAGCCCTTCCCACCTCCAGGACTTACGTCCAGTTAGCTGATTTCTTAACACACTGAATTCTTTGCACAATATTCACACCACATCATTACTCTTCAACATATTTACACTGCCTCTAGCCTTTACACTGCAAAATATAATTTTTTTTTTCCATCATATCCCACTGAGGCAAGATGATCTAAACAGAAAAATGAAAGTTTCTCTTTTTAAAATTAGTAATGTAAACAGGAGAAAGGGTTACTAGCCCCTTGCTCCCAGCATTTTAGTCGTTTCTTACGACACGCATGGGTTACAAAGGAAGAATTCTGTTCCACTTCCTCATGGAGATAAGAGGAAATAAACAAGAACAAGAACTAGCAAGAAAATAGAAGAAAACCCAGAGGGGTGTATTTTTTTTATTTTTATTAACACACTGGCCGATTCCCACCAAGGCAGGGTGGCCCGAAAAAGAAAAACTTTCACCATCATTCACTCCATCACTGTCTTGCCAGAAGGGTGCTTTACACTACAGTTTTTAAACTGCAACATTAACACCCCTCCTTCAGAGTGCGGGCACTGTACTTCCCATCTCCAGGACTCAAGTCCGGCCTGCCGGTTTCCCTGAATCCCTTCATAAATGTTACTTTGCTCACACTCCAACAGCACGTCAAGTATTAAAAACCATTTGTCTCCATTCACTCCTATCAAACATATATACTTGTACAGTGGTCCCCCGGTTCCCGATATTAATCCGTTCCTGAGAGCTCATCGTAAACCAAAAATATCAGAAAGCGAATCAATTTTCCCCATAAGAAATAACGGAAATCAAATTAATCCGTGCAAGACACCCAAAAGTATGAAAAAAAAAAAAACTTTTACCACACGAAATATTAAGTTTAATGCAATAAAATAATTACAATAACAACAATAACAATGGATTAATAACAATAGAATATAATTGACACTTACCTTTAATGAAGATCTGGTGATGATTGATGGGATGGGAGGAGGAGTGTGTTGAACCTATTGCATAGAAGGGGAATCCCCCTCCAGTAGCACTGGAGGTATCAAGTCTTTTTCCGGGGCTACTTCCCTTCTTCTTTTAATGCCACTAGGACCAGCTTGAGAGTCACTGGACTTCTGTCGCACAACATATCTGTCCATAGAGACCTGTACCTCCTGTTCCTTTATGACTTTCCTAAAGTGGTTCACAACAGTGTCATTGTACAGGTTGCCAACACGGCTTGCAGTAGCTGTCTGAGGGTGATTTTCATCAAAAAAGCTTTTCACTTCAAGCCACTTTGCACCCATTTCCCTAATCTTTGAAGTAGGCAACTGCTTCACTTTCTCTATCCCCTTCTCCGAAGCAGTTTCCTCAGGTCTGGCCTCTTGCTGTTGAAGATGATCCAGCAGTTCATCAGTGGTTAGTTCGTCATTGTCCCCCTCCACCAACTCTTCCACATCCTCCCCACTAACCTCGAACCCCAAGGACTTCCCCAATGCCACTTTCGTACTTTGCAATTACCTCTTTCTTTATTTCAATAATCAGTAGCACCCTTGGTCTGGAAGGGTTGGTACTAGAAGCTTTCTTGGGGCCCATGGTGACTTATTTTGCAGAAACAAGCACCAAAAACAGTGATAATATAGATAATATGGAATGTACCGAATGTATCCTTTGATGTGCGCACACTGGCTGACTTGTAAACACCGGTACACACGGGGGAGTTCAGGCCACAATTGGACACGTCTCGTACGAATCGTATCGCATACTGGGTTTTGTATCGGGAAGCAAGGCAAAATTTTTTTCGATCAAATGCATCGGCAACCGAATTTATCGGATACCGGTAACATCGGGAACCAGGGGTCCACTGTACATGCATGTGTAGGGTGACCTAAATGTAAGTAGCAAGATGTACCTGAAACCTTGTATGTTTATGAGACAGAAAAAAAGACACCAGCAATCCTACCATCATGAAAACAATTACAGGCTTCTATTTTACACTCACTAGGCAGGACAGTAGTACCTTCCTGGGCAGTTGCTGTTTACCAACCTACTACCTAGGAAAATATAATTATATAAGAACAAAAAAGGAGCAAGGGGCTAGTAACCCCTTCTTCTGTACATATTACTGTTCTGAGCACCTCTGCAAAAACAGTGATTATGTGTGAGTGAGGTGAAAGTGTTGAATGATGAAAGTATTTTCTTTTTGGGGATTTTCTTTCTTTTTGGGTCACCCCGCCTTGGTGGGATACGGCCGGTGTGTTGAAAGAAAGAAAGAACAAAAAAAAGAAACAGCACACATGATAAAAAGGTAAAAGTATATCCTGTACAGAAAAAGTGGGGGGTATTAACAGAGGAAAAATTCTGTAAGAGCATGAGAAAAAACAAAGCAGACATGGATTTCTAATACGTAAAACAAAGCTCTATTATTGTCATTCCCCTTTCAGGAAAAAGTATCCAAGAGAAAGGAATCAAGAGATTAATATAGAGTATATACATGTTACAGATCTTCTGTACTAACCTGGTATGTAGCTTGTTGAGCTTGACTCTCCATTTCAGTGTTAAGATGTGATATATTATCCCGAAGATCTCTCACCTGGCCTGCCAGTTTATCCCTTTCAGTAGTCAATTCAAATATTTTTTTATTTAACATTTCTCTCTCCTGAAAAAAAGGTAAAAGAAATTATGTTTATAGATGTTTTAACATGCTGGCTATCTCTCACCAAGGCAGGGTAACCTGAAAAAACACTTTAACCATCATTCATAGTTTCAAAATCTTGCCATTGGAGTGCAGATGCGACAGTTTAGATGACACTAAACAGCAAATATCCCAAACCCCTCCTGTAAAGTGCAGGCATTGTACTTCCCACCTCCAGGGCTAAAGTCCGGCTAACTGGTTTCCCTGAATCCCTTCACAAAATACTACCCTGCTCACACTGCAGATGAGCAAGGAGGCTTTAGAATGGGTAGGGGATGTGTAAATCAGGTGTTTACATTGAAACATATATGTGAATAATATTTAGATAAAGAGTTTTTTATTAGGATAGTGAGGCTCAGGTTAGGGTGTGTAGGAAAGAGGGAAATTAATTCCAGGAAAAGTAGGTCATAGACAGAGATGTTTAATGTCACCATGGTTGTTTAACATATTTAAAGATGGAGTTGTAAAAGAAGTAAATGCTAGGGTGTTGGGGGAGGGGTGGGATTAAATTACGGAGAATCAAATACAAAATGGGAGTTGACACAGTTACTTTTTGCTGATGATACCGTGCTTTTGGGGATTCTAAAGAAAAGTTGCAAAGGTTAGTGGACAAGTTTGGGAGGGTGTGTAAAGGTAGAAAGCTGAAAGTGAACATGGATAAAAGTACGGTGGTGAGGGTATCAAACAATTTAGATAAAGAAAAACTGGATATCACACTGGAGGGAGGGAGTATGGAAGAAGTGAATGTTTTCAGATATTTGGGAAATGACTTCTCAGCAGATAGGTCTATGAAGGATGAGGTTAACCATAGAACTGATGAAGGAAAAAAGGCGAGCGGTGCATTGAGTTATCTGTGGAGACAAAGAACATTATCCATGAAGGCAAAGAAGGGAATGTACGAGAGTATAGTGGTACCAACACTCCTCCATGGGTGTGAAGCATGGGCTGTAAATGCTGCAGCAAGGAGGCAGCTGGAAGCAGTGGAGATGTCCTAAGTGCAATATGTGGTGTAAATATTATGCAGAGAATTCGTAGTGTGGAAATTAGGAGGAGGTGTAGAGTTACTAAAAGTATTAGTCAGAGAGCTGAAGAGGGGCTGTTGAGGTGGTTTGGTCATTTAGAGAGAATGGAACAAAGTAGAATGACTTGGAGAGCGTATAAATCTGTAGGGAAAGGAAGACAAGGTAGGGGTTGGCCTAGGAAAGGTTGGAGGGAAGGGATAGAGGAGGTTTTGTGTGTGAGGGGATTGGACTTCCAGTAAGCGTGAGTGAGCATGTTAGATAGGAACAATTTAATTCATAATTCAAGTAAGGCCAATTTCAAAATAGGGTCCAAACTTAACAATGCAAACATTCCTAACACTAAAATAAAAATTTTTATGTTCATTAGTCACATCTCCAGGTCCTTCTTACATTATGCTTGCTTTCCATTTTGAATTTTTATTCACACAAAAAATAGAAGATTTACTGTTATGCAGACTACTGCATTATTGTAAAAATGGTATAAGTAATATCAACACATTCGTGAAAGCATATTAGACCCACCAGTTGATGTGTATTGGATGCATGACGTGATTCGTTTACTCTTGAACATCAGCAAAAATCAAACATTTCCACTACTTTGAGCTCAATTTCAAGGTACTTTTAGTCTGAAAACCATTCAAAATCATCTCTATTTCTGTGTATTTTCTCTCATTATGCACTGCGTGCTGCAGGATTTTTTTTTATACTGCACACACTGACCACTCAGCCTCGTTCTCTCATATGTAGACCTACCAGCTTTCTCCCACAAGATTGGAAGCCACTAGAATTTTGGCGTAGTATTACGGGACCGACACTGGCTTGCAAGCCATAATATTATGGGACTGGCAGTGAAAGGAGGGGTTTGGGATATTGGCAGTTTGAGGGACATCTAAGCTGTCATATCTGAGCATGTCTGTAATGACAGTGATTATGTATGAGTGATGGTGAAAGTGTTGAATGATGATGAAAGGATTTTGCACTTAGTCTTGTTACATGGAGTGAATAATATTTTTATTATTATATTAACCCTTTGACTGTTTTGGTCGTATATATACGTCTTACGATCCACCGTGTTTGACGTATATATACTCATAAATTCTAGCAGCTTCAAATCAAGCAGGAGAAAGCTGGAAGGCCCACATGTGAGAGAATGGGTCTCTATGGTCAGTGTGCACCATATAAAAAAAAATCCTGCAGCACGCAGTGCATGAGAAAAAAAAACTCCGATCGTTTTTTTTTAATTAAAATGCCGACTTTGTGGTCTATTTTCGTATAGTATTCACGGTTGTATTCTCGTTTTCTTGGTCTCGTTTGATAGAATGGAAAACATATTATAGAAATAGTGGTAATTTTGATTGGTTTTACTATGAAAAGAACCTGGAAATGGAGCTCAAAGTAGGGGAAATGTTTGATTTTTGCCGATGTTCAAAAGAAAACAAATGATGTCATTGTCCAATAAATGTCCAACTAGCCATTCTAATATGCAGTCATGAATGGGTTGACAATATGCAATTATTACAATATTGCAGAAGTCTGCATAAGAGTAAATCTTCTATTTTTTGTTTGAATAAAAATTCAAAATAGAAAGCAAGAGTAATATCAGAGGGGCCTGGAGACGTGACTGATGAACAAAGAAAATGTTATTTTAGAGCCAGGAATGTCTGCATTGTTCATTCTGGACCCTATTTTGAAACTGTCATATTTTTTAATTTTCGTGAAATTGGCCAAATTGCAAATTTCTGACTATGTTATTGGGTAGTTGAAATGGGTAAATGCGCAGTTTCTTGTACTCAATCGATAGAAAAGATGGAGTTCTAAAGAAATAGCTATGAGTTTGGTTGACTGGAACAATGGAATTAGCCGAAAATAGGGCTCAAAGTGGGCGAAATCGCCAATTTGTAAATATTGCCGAGGTCGCTAACTTCGCGAGAGCATAATTCCACGAGTTTTCTATCAAATTTCGTACCTTTGGCATCATTACCATCGGGAAAAGATTCACTATCAGGATTAGGGGTTGCGACAGTCAAGGGGTTAACACATCAGCTATTTCCCACCAAGGCAGGGTGGCCCAAAAGAAAAGAAAAACCTTCAGCATTCACTCCATCACTGTCTTGCCAGAGGCACGCTTACACTACAGTTATAAAACTGCAACATTAACACCCCTCCTTCAGAGTGCAGGCACTGCTTGCTGGTTTTCCTGAATCCCTTCATAAATGTTACTTTGCTTACACTCCAACAGCACGTCTATTTGTTCCTATCTAACATGCTCATGCACGCTTGCTGGAAGTCCAAGCCCCTCACCTACAAAACCTCCTTTATCCCTTCCCTCCAACCTTTCCTAGGCCAACCCCTACCCCACTTTCCCTCCACTACAGAGTTATACAACCCCTCCTCAGTCCTCTGGATAATAGTTTTGGTAATCCTGCACCTCCTCCTAATCTCAAAACTATGGATTCTCTGCATTACATTCACACCACACACTGCCCTATGATATGACATCTCCATTGCCTCCAGTCTTCTCCTTGTTGCAACATTCACAACTCATGCTGTACACCCATGCAAGAGTGTTGGTATAAATATACTCTCATACACTTCCATTTTTGCTTTCACTGATAAAGTTCTCTGTCTCCACAGGCTCCTCAGTGCACCACTCACCTTTTTCCCCTTGTCAGTTCTGTGATTCACCTCATCTTTCATAGACCCATCTGCTGACATGTCCACTCCTAAATATCTGAATACATTCACCTCCTCCATACTCTCTTCCTCCAATCTGATACTCAATCTTCGTTACCTAATTTTTTTGTTATCGTCACCTTATTCTTTCCTATATTCACTTTTAAATTCCTTCTTTTACATACCCTACCAAACTCAACAACCAACCTCTGTAACATCTCTTCAGAATCTCCCAAAAGCACAGTGTCATCAGCAAAGAGCAACTGTGACAACTCCCACTTTGGGTTAGATTCTTCATCTTTTAACCCCACACCTCTTGCAACTCCATCTATAAATATATTGAACAACAATGGTGACATAACACATCCCTGTCTAAGGCCTACTTTTACTAGGAAATAGTCTCCCTCTCGCCTACGTACTCTAACCTGAGCCTCACCATCCTCGTAAATCCTCCAAAAACAGAAAATAACTTTTTAAAATATGTACATAAATAAAAAAGAAATGAACTATTCTTGCCTAAAACTGTTGCTTGATGCTATGCAGGTATTTGGAGAGGGTTAATGTGCAGAACTACAAATACTGTGCAGAACCACATGCTTGTACAATACCTGTACAAACATGTGGCCCTGCACAATACCTGTACAGACATGTGGTTCTGCACAATACCTGTACAAACATGTGGTTCTGCACAATGCCTGTACAAACATGAGGTTCCAGACAGTACCTATACAAACATACAGCCTTACACAATACCTGTAAAAACATGCAGCCCTGCACAATACCTGTACAAACATGTGACCCTACACAATACCAGTACAAACATGTGGCCCTGCACAATACCAGTATAAACATGTGGTTCTGCACAATACCTATACAAACATGTGGCCCTGCACAATACCAGTATAAACATGTGGTTCTGCACAATACCTATACAAACATGTGGCCCTGCATAATACCTGCATAAACATATGGCAAGCAGTACCTGTTGCCATTACCTACCACCACCAACACCTAAGGCCTGGAAAAAGTCATATGATTAAGTTTAGTGTAAGATAAGATTTGCTCAGACTTAACCCAAAGGGTTATCCACCCATGATAACCCAAGAAAGTCAATGCATCATCGAGCTCTGTCTTATTTCCAATGGGGTCCTTTAATCTTATCCCCATGGATGCAACCCACACCAGTCAAGTAACACCCAGGTCCCTACTACTTCTAGGTGAACAAGAACAGAAGGTGTACGAAAACACGCCTAGTGTTTCCGCTCATGCTGGGGACTGAGCAACGGACACTTGGCATGTGAGGAATGTGTGCTGCCAACCAAACCAAAGGACACCGAGCATTCCTTCCACAGAAAGTGGCCAGGGCTCAATATGGCCCTACTGTGGTGGCCCTCAAAACTGCTGACACCAACACCACCACCATGAGCTGGGCCAGTCACAATCAAGACTTCTCACACAACTTTTTCAATCACCAACATTTTCAACAACTGTACCAGTATAGGTAGGGTATGTAATGTAGCCTCTTCTCTTCCTTGCTGAAGGTGCTAAGAAATCTTTACTTGTTTTTTACCTTTTAATGGACATTTTACATTATTTTTTTTAACAAGTCGGCCATCTCCCACCAAGGCAGGGTGACCCAAAAATAAAATACTTTCATCATCATTCAACTCTTTCACCTCACTTACACATAATCACTGTTTTTGCAAAGGTGCTCAGAACACAACAGCTTAGAAGCATATATGTATAAAGATACACAACATATCCCTCCAAACCGTCAATATCCCGAACCCCTCCTTTAGAGTGCAGGCACTGTACTTCCCATTTCCAGGACTCAAGTCCAGCTATATAAAAATAACCGGTTTCCCTGAATCCCTTAACTAAATATTACCCTGCTCACACTCCAACAGCTCATCAGGTCCCAAATGCCATTCGTCTCCATTCACTCCTATCGAACATGCTCACGCACGCCTGCTGGAAGTCCAAGCCCCTCGCCCACAAAATCTCCCTTACCCCTTCCTTCCAACCTTTTCAAGGACGACCCCTACCCCGCTTTCTTTCCCCTACAGATTTAAATGCTCTCCATGTCATTCTACTTTGATCCATTCTCTCTAAATGACCAAACCACCTCATACATTTTACATGTAGTTATAAATTCCTCGACCTAACTCAGGCATTTTCAACCTTTCCTTACATTTTTATAGCTGAGAAAGCCTTCTACCTGATACCTGCCAAATTCACTCCCTCCTAGCCTCTTAGGCCCTATCATACCTGCTCTTCAATGTATGGGGTCTGCTTCCACAACTTCACTGAGATCATTGCACTCCTCAACCATTGTGAAAATGTAGAAATACAGTAGACCGTCATTTAGCACGAGTTTATTTGGCACGATTTGGGTATTGCACGACTGAAGAATTGCCGCACAATTTTATGTAACACGTCGTATAACTAATTTAACAAAGTTCACTTTGTGGGAAGGAAAAAAAATCTCTTTTGCTCAAGCGGCAGCCTTGTTGTGGAGCAGCCGGGGGAGCCCTCCCGCCATCCTCTACCACTCCCCGAAACCACCCCACCATTCGTAACTCATACGTGTCCAGTCCAGTCTTTCTCTGCTATAAGGCAGCTGTGTTTGTGAATTGTGTTATATTTTAATTACTATCTCTTGTATCTGCCAAGCAATTATGACGCCCAGTAGCCATACCAGTGTTGCTGAAAGTGGCACTAAGAGGTATAAGCACTTAAGTCTTAGAATTAACAAAGAAACAAAGATATTAGACAAGAGATAACCTGTAGTCCTAATGAAGTGTTAATTTGTACACAGAAAAAGAAGTAAACATGAGTGTGTGACTGACTTACTGAATGCCTGAACTGACTGAACTGACTGACTGACTGAACTGATTGACTGACTTGATTGACTTGACTGAATGATTGAATGACTTAAAATTAGACACTCCAGTACAATCATCAACTTCAGTACCAGAACCTCTACCATCCACCTCAGCCCAGTAGGACCACAACGTAACTCTCCACTCTCTTCACAATCATCCACAAACACCAGCACCCACAATTTAAGGTAAGAAATACTATTATTTCTGTTACATTTGTAGTCTTAAGCAGTAAAAACAACATAATACATCACAATAATGAACTAAAACGACATATTCACTTTTATTTTTCTAAGATGTGGAGGCCTAAAAAAAAGTGGTTTGGCTTTTTGGGGGCTCCCAGGAACATAACCCTATTTTTCCCATAAGTTCTTCAGTTAATCTAACACAATTTTTTACCTAACACGGCATTTTCTGGAATGTAACTACCATGCTAAATGACGGTCTACTGTACTTCTTGACTCCCATGTGACTCATATACGTCTAATTTTCAGCTATGTTTCCTTCTTTGAGTCACCCGACTCAGTCAGGTGAGGGCTGTTGAGATTTAAAAAAAAAAAAAAAAAAAAAAAAAAAAAAAAAAAAAAAAAAAAAACATTACAGCTAGACTTAAATCCTGAATGTGTTAAGTGACTGCATGCTAAAAGAAGGGTGGGGATGCTGCAGTTCAGAGGGTCTTTTGAAATGTGATTTCTGAGTGCTTCTGGTAAGAAAGCACTCAAAAGAATGATGGTGAGTATGGTTATAAATATATGTACTCTTTTTTACCTGCTCAGCTATACGAGTTACACTGCGATGAGCCTCTGAATCTTGTGTCACTTGAGACTGTAGTCTGTTTAGGGCAGCAGCAAGTTCATCTTTTGACCGCTGGGTGGATGCATGCGCTTCCTGCTCCATGGAAAGTTGCTTGTCTAGCTCTGCTTTCTGAAAAGGTAATTTTGAGATACATTTGCTCATTTGTAATTTGAAATTTTATTAAAAGAATGAATATATGATAGATCTCTAATTAAATTTTCATCAGGAAGCTCTAAACCCATAAAGGTTATATAGCACCTGGGGAATGGGAGGTATTCAGGTTCAATCCAAGAAAGGGAAGGAAGAGTTCAAGTACTTGAAACCCAAGAGTCCCTCATTAGCATGAAGGCACCTTCCCAGAAGAGAGTGTAACACAGAACATCAAGCATGTAAGTAGATTCAGTAAAAGTGAACATGGAACACATATGTATGAATGAGAGATAGTGTACACCTTAACCCCTAAACGGTCCAAACGTATATATACGTTCTTTCCCCCAGTGCCCCGAATATGTATTTTGAAAAATAAAAAAATAGTTTTTTTTTCATAGAAATAGAGAAAATTTTTCTGTGTTATAGGATTAAAATAAAAAAATTATGGTCAGTACTTACTGAGATAAGAGGCTGCAAAGTTGGCATTAATGCTCACCTGACGGCAATATCAAGTCCTGCCGCTTGAGGAAGTGTTGCCAATATACCATTTTTCTCATTTCTATATTATTTTATGTAATTTTTATGTTATGATAATTACAATTTATTGTAGTTCCTGGCATTTCATAATCAATCTTTGTTCTGACACTAACTAATTATTAGGTACTAAAATTGTACTCAAATTGTCACAAACACATTGACAGGAGGACATTTACACCTGCCCTGGTCATTTACTATTGTCTAGGGGGGGGGGAGGAGGAGGAGGAGGAAAAGGAGGAGGAGGAGGAGGAGGAAAAGGAGGAGGAGGAGGAGGAGGAAAAGGAAAAGGAGGAGAAGGAAAAGGAAAAGGAGGAGGAGGAGGAGGAAAAGGAGGAGGAGGAGGAGGAAAAGGAGGAGGAGGAGGAGGAAAAGGAGGAGGAGGAGGAAAAGAAGGAGGAGGAAAAGAAGGAGGAGGAAAAGAAGGAGGAGGAAAAGAAGGAGGAGGAAAAGGAGGAGGAGGAAAAGGAGGAGGAGGAGGAGGAGGAGGAGGAGGAGGAAGAATGAAGAAGTTCCCTTGAAGTAATGTGACAAGCATCCGGGAGGGCAATGATAAGACGAGATATGGGATGACATATGACGGGCACAAGCAAGGGTGCAGAGATAAAACGAGATAAGCTATGACATTTAATGGGCGCCAGCAAGGGTGCAGAGATAAGGGATGACATTTGATGAGCTCGTATCTCTGTCTCTGATTATCTCTCTGTCTGCTTGTCTCTTTCCATCTCTCTGCTTGTCTCTCTCTCTATCTGTCTCAGAGAGAGCCACTGTGAACCAACAGGTATTCTTATGCACTATATCTACAACCACAGTACAGCACTTTGGATTTTTTTAGGTTATTCTAGATAATTTACACTATGTATAATTGTATCTGTGTGTACCTGTGAGACAGATAAAGAGAGACAGATAGACAGAGGCAGACAGAGATAGACAGACCCTAAACTTGGGGTTAACATCACTTTCCTCTTAAAAGGGGAGTGTTAATATGACACTGCATCAGTGAATCCTTGGTGTTTGCCGCACTGTTTGCTTGAGCTGGCACTCAATTTAACTGGCGCTCCCACAAAGTACTAAGTGGTCCCAGATCTTTTTTTAACATGGTACACATCAATCTATACTGACCAGGCGTCTCAGGCCAATCGTGCCAAATTTGGAGGCAGGAAAATTAAAACGTATATACAGGTCCTCCATCACAAATCCGGCATCACTGGGACCTGTAGTGTGCCGGATTACAGAGTGGTTAGGTTAGAATACACTTAATAAAATTAACTAACTTGACTGTCACAAAGTTCATTGAACATCGGCAAAAATCAAACATTTCCGCTATTTTGAGCCCAATTTCAAGGTACTTTTCGTCATGAAAGCAATCAAAATCATGTCTATTTCTGTAATATATCTTCCATTCTACCAAATGAGACCAAAAACACGAGAATACAATCATAAAAACCATGCAAAAATATACCGCAAAGAAGCGGCTAATGGCTGAGAAGTGAACTCCCTTATTTATCGTTCGTCTTTTTTATTTTTGTTGTACGTTAAGAAGCATCTTTCCATCATACATTGCCCAAGTTTCAACAAGACAGCCAAACAAACAATTGAGGAAAAAAAAAATATTTACCAAAAATCATATATGGCAAGCCCCAGCCTGGTACTGGAAATCAGTCACTTTGTCTGACTTTTTTTGGGTTATCCTAGGTTTTCTATACATACACTGCTATGTATGATAATCTATGTAACTGTATTTATGTATACCTAATAAACTTACTTATTTACTTACTTCTAGTCTGTCGACTGAGTACAAGAAACCGCCCATTCACTTATTTCAACTACCCAATATAGTGGCCAGAAATTGGTAATTTGGCCAATTTCACACAAATTTCAACAGATGCCAATTTCAAAATAGGGTCCAGAATAAACAATGCAGACATTCCTGGCACTAAAATAACATTTTCTCTGTTCATCAGTCACGGCTCCAGGCCCCTCTTATATTACTCTTATTTTCCATTTGGAATTTTTATTCACAAAAAAAAAAAAATAGAAGATTTACTGTTATGCAGACTGCTGCATTATTGTAATAATTGTATAAATAATGTCAACCCATTCTTGACTCTGTATTGGAATTTGGACTGACAGGCAGACAGGTACTGGACGGTGACGTCATTTGTTTACTCTTGAGCTTTGCTAAAGTATAGAACATTTTCGCTACTGTGAGCACAATTTCAAGGTACTTTTCATCATGAAAGCAATCAAAATCATATCTATTTCTGTAATATATCTTTCATTCTATCAAATGAGACCAAAAAAACTAGAATGTAACCATATAAACCATACAAAAATATACCGCTAAGTGGCCGCTAATGGCTGAGAAGTGAACTCTGCTATTTATGGTCTGATTTCTTTCATTTTTGGTATATGTTAAGAAGTATCTTTCCATCATACATTGCCCAAGTTTCAATAAGATAACCCAACAAACAATTGAGAAAATAATAATAAATAATAATAATAATAATAATAATAATAATAATAATAATAAAAAATAATAGTAATAATAATAATAATATTTTTATTTACTGCATGTATATGTACAGTGTACACAGGCCTAGCTGACATCAGTGACATACTACTATATAGAAAGTCGCTTGTTAGGCATAATATTTCAAGCAAATTAGGTCAGTGTCCCAGGATAACACCCACACCAGTCGGTTAACACCCAGGTACCCATTTATTGATGGGTGAACATAGACAACAGGTGTAAAGAAACACACCCAATGTTTCTACCCTGGCTGGGAATTGAACATTTACCAAAAATCATATATGGCTAACCCCAGCCAGGTAATATAAATAAGCCACATTGTCTGACTTTTCTGGGTTATCCTAGGTTCTATACACACATGCTGTGTGATAATCTATATAGAGAAAATAACTTTTTTGTTTCAGGTTTATGGTACAGTATGAGTGTATATCACAGTTAGCCCTGTGCTATACTCCATTTTCTCTAATATAAGCCCCCAAGACAGGGATATGAGAATGGTATTTGTATACCATATCCTCTTCATACCTCCATCGAACTGCTCGGTATTATGCCAAATATTATTCATTCTGGAGTATTTAACATGTTTTATGTTATTTATATTGTTTATTATGTCATATTAGATCAATTGTGATAGGCAATAAGCTGTATTGTTGATACAGTAGAACCTCAAATTTCGAACGTATCACTTATCAAACTTTTCAAAAATAGAACCCTTTTTTCAAACCAACTTTGTCCTTATTATCGAACGTGCCCCTATTTTCGGACCGCCGGGTACCGGACCTGTTCACCAGCCCGCTCTGTCCGCGTCCCTGCGCAGGCGCCGTGAGCCAGTCTGGCTTTGTTGATGCTTGAGTGAACACTAACCTGCGCTCTCATTCAAACATTTTATGATTATTTCATTGCGTTTAGTGCTTGTGGGACTGTGAAGTAAACTACCATGGGCCCAAAGAAACTTGCTAGTGGTACCCCTGTGGTAAAGAAAGTGAGAAACACCATAGATGTGAAGAAGGAAATAATACAGAAGTATGAGAGTGGTGTGAGACTTGCTGAGCTTGCCAGGATGTATGGGAAAAACAAGTCGACCATCGGTTCTATCCTGACAAAGAAAGAACAAATCAAGGAAGCTGATGTTGCGAAAGGTGTTAATATGCTAACCAAAAAAAAAGACCACAAATAGTTGAAGAGGTTGAGAAGCTGTTGCTGGTGTGGATCAAGAATAAAGAGATGGCAGGTAATAGTGTTTCAGAGACGATTATTTGTGAAAAGTCAAGGAAGGTGCATGCCGATCTGGTACAGAAAACTCCTGGAACCAGTTCAGTGACAGAACCATGTCCTATTTTAGGGAAATGTTAATGAGGAACCAGAAATAGAGGACTGTGGACAGTTATTTTGTGAGACAGGGGTCTAGTGACTCTCAAGCTGGTCCTAGTGGCATTAAAAGACAGAGAAGGGAAGTAACCCCACAGAGGGCTTTACCTGAATTCATCATGGAGGGGGATTCTCCTTCCAAACACTAACCACAACTCCCTCTCTCCTCCTCCCTATCTTCCAGATGCCATCACCAATCTTCAATAAGGTAAGTAAAAATGTTATTTTATATTTATATACATAATTGAACACTATAGTATTTGTTGTGTGTATGTAAAACTATAATTAATCTCTATAAAATGTATTTTTTGTGAATATTTTCGGGTTTCTGTAAAGGATTAATTGTAATTCCATTATTTCTTATGGGAAATATTGCTTCGATTTTCAGACTTTTCGAATTTAGAACTAGCTCCTGGAACGGATTAAGTTCGATATTTGAGGTTCCACTGTATTAGCATAATAATAAAGCATATTCTCCTGCATCACGAGACTGAGCTCATGGCAACCGACAGTGGCTTCAAAGCCACCTTATCTTTAATGGACAATGTACTGTGTAGGTGCTTTACATAACAAGAAGCATTCTTTTATTAATTGGACCCATGGCTAGGGCTAAAAGTAATGGAGAAAAAGAAATTAGAATGACTTATGTAGCAAGTAGCACCACCAAACAGTACCAGCAGGTTGGTGTGGCAACCCTGGAAATTTGAAATTATGCTAGCCAAAATTAGTGCCGAATAACTGAAGGAACCGAATAACTGATTGCCGGATTTGTGATGGTGGACCTGTATACGTTTGGGGCGCTAGCGGTAAAAACATATATATACGTTTGGACCGTTTAGGGGTTAATGAAACCCATAAAGTAGAACAGCTTTTCAATGATTCAGGCCTATAAGCTATATAGGTACAGTATATTGCATTGAATACTGCCCTTTTTCCAATACCCCTTTGAACTCGTTATGCTTTTTAAAGACTGATTATTCTGGTATGTTAAAAGAGAAAAAGCTTTAAAATACTGATACAAAGTATTTTCAAATGGGGAACATATGATATAAAATGTTAGAAAAAGGCTAATGCATATGGAACATGAAAAAAAAAAAAAAAGGCAGAAACAAAAATGTCAAAAAAATTTTTAAAAATGTAATAGCGTACTGTGGTTTAAAAATCATAAGTATTATGCTCACTAGATAGCACTAACCCAGCAAGGGGTCATACAGCGCAGAGTACTGTAATGAAAAAAGAATTAAGATCCACAATATATTTAAAGAGATCATGTAGCTTTACCCCTCTGATGAGATGTATGTGCTCGTCACGCAGCTTCTGGTACACGTCTTTCATCTTAAGAAATTTTTCTTCTGCAGAACGTCTCCTTGTTTCCTCATCAGCTACTCTTGTTACTGCTTCTGCACTTGCTGCTGCTGCTTCTACTTGCGCCATGATAGATTCCTTGCTTTGTTTCTCGGCCAGAAGCTCACTGTCCTAAAAAGAATAAAAAGGCATGACACCATGACTATTTTTTTTTTCTTTTTGGGTCACCCTGACTCAGTGGGATATGGCCAGTTTGTTGAAAGAAGATGACAACATGACTGGAACAATACACAAATAACCCGCACTTGAACCATTAACTAGTTGAACTGAAACATCGTCATAAGTCTGTATGTACAGATTATTTGTGTATTACTCGCTGTCCTGTTTATGTGATGAGAACTTGGTTTTAACACTAGAACTATGATAGTTACATGATGATTCCAAAGAGGATGCTATTTTATATGAAGAGAAAATGACCTTAGCATAGAACTACAGTAGTCACATCACAACCTAATTCAGAACAAGATGCACCTTTTTTTTACACTTTTAATCAGAGCTTTGTTTTATGCCACACAGAATAAACTGGAGAAGGCAGTGTGAAAATGTGAACATTTGATTACTTGATTCTGCAACATTTCCAAGTTTAAATGGGAGAACAGGAGGCAATTAAATAATCAAATAAAATTAATATCACTACAGAAACCTTAGAAAAAATATGGCTGTAGTATTACTAGCAGCACCTGATACATTCTGATGTTGAAGAATGTTTACTGCTGTGCTTGAAAAGTGAAAAAAATATGAATTCATATACGGTGGAACCTCAGCTTATGAATTTAATCCGTTACATGGACTTGTTCACATCCTGATTTGTTTGTATGCTAGGTCAATTTTTCCTCATTGAAATTAACCCTTAAACCGTCCAAACGTATAGAGTATATACATTTTCTCGCGCAGCACCCCAAACGTATATATACGTTTCATTTTTCATTCATTCAAAATTGGCGCAATAGGCCTGAGTCGCCTGGAGATAATCCTGTCCCCTGGAGATACACCCATCCCCTGGAGATACTCCCGTCCCCCGGAGATACACCCGTCCCCCAGAGATACTCCTGTCCCCCGGAGATGCACCCGTCCCCCTGGAGATAGTCCCATCCCCTGGAGATACACCCGTCCCCTGGAGATACTCCCGTCCCCTGGAGATGCACCCGTCCCCCGGAGATACTCCCACCCCCCGGAGATACTCCCGTCCCCTGGAGATACACCCGTCCTCTGGAGATACTCCCGTCCCCTGGAGATGCACCCGTCCCCTGGAGATGCACCCGTCCAATGGAGATGCACCCGTCCCCTGGAGATGCACCCATCCCCTGGAGATACTCCCGTCCCCCAGAGATACTCCCGTCCCCCGGAGATACTCCTGTCCCCCGGAGATACACCCGTCCCCTGGAGAAACACCCTCCCCTGGAGATACTCCCGTTCCCCGGAGATACACCCGTCCCCTGGAGATACACCCGTCCCCTGGAGATACACCCATCCCCCAGAGATACTCCCATCCCCTGGAGATACTCCCGTCCCCTGGAGATACACCCGTCCCCTGGAGATACACCCGTCCCCTGGAGATACACCCGTCCTCTGGAGATACACCCGTCCCCTGGAGATACTCCCGTCCCTCGGAGATACACCCGTCCCCTGGAGAATATGTGCGCGCACTCAGTTATTTATTTATTTTATTATCACACCGGCCGATTCCCACCAAGGCAGGGTGGCCCGAAAAAGAAAAACTTTCACCATCATTCACTCCATCACTGTCTTGCCAGAAGGGTGCTTTACACTACAGTTTTTAAACTGCAACATTAACACCCCTCCTTCAGAGTGCAGGCACTGTACTTCCCATCTCCAGGACTCAAGTCCGGCCTGCCGGTTTCCCTGAATCCCTTCATAAATGTTACTTTGCTCACACTCCAACAGCACGTCAAGTATTAAAAACCATTTGTCTCCATTCACTCCTATCAAACACGCTCACGCATGCCTGCTGGAAGTCCAAGCCCCTCGCACACAAAACCTCCTTTACCCCCTCCCTCCAACCCTTCCTAGGCCGACCCCTACCCCGCCTTCCTTCCACTACAGACTGATACACTCTTGAAGTCATTCTGTTTCGCTCCATTCTCTCATGCGCACTCAGTGTGCACATGAAAAAAATTTGGGACGCCTGGGTACCACATCATAGGTCCAGTTACATTCAGCTTCATCTTGGGTCAGTAAAATGGCATATCCTCGTGATTCACTCACGCCTTGTTGTATTAACACTATTATTTGAGGAAAGTGATAGAGATCACGAGTTTAGTGGATTTGACACCAATGGGGCCAGTAATATTCAAGGAATTAGTGAAAATGTCGATGATAACCCAGATCACCCTCAGCCCATCACCTCTGGGGTAGCCACACCTATCCTTGGGCCAAGCACCTCTGGGGTAGCCAGTGTGGTCACAGCAGACCTTAGGCCAAGCACTTCTGGGGTAGCCAGTGTGGCCACACAAGACCCTGGGCCAAGCACCTCTGGAGTGGCGAGTGTTACCCACAGGCAACTTCGCAAGAGGAAACTATCATTTTCCCAGTGTTTTAGTGATAGTGAAAGTGATGAAAGTGATGAGATTGATTTTATGCCATTCGAGGATTCATCTAGCGATAGTGAAGTTCATTATTCACCAGTGAAGCGTACTTTTAGGCGTCATCATCTACGTTCAGGCAGTGTGCCATATGCAGTCCCCAAGGGTAGTGGCAGGTCACGATCCAAAACCCCAGCCACTGATAGTGAAAGTGATCATGAAGGCAAGTATGTGGGGGATGGAGGAAGTAGTGGTTGGTGGCACAGTGCCTGTACCACATGGCACGGTGGGTGGACAGACAAAGGACCGCCTGGCATCCCCTCAACCATGTGCTGCCTCCACTCCTGTCCCTCCTCCTGCTCCCCCTCACCCCATGCCACAGGTCCACCCTACACCATGTGATCGTGAGTGGAACTGGACACAAAGTATATTCGTGCCACAGCCTTGTGATTTTGATGCGAGTGGAAGTGGTATCCAGCCAGAATGTCCCCTAACGAACGAGTCTACAGAGTTAGACTATTTCCAGTTGTACTTTGATGAGCCTATAATGAACTTGATAGTGACCCAGGCAAACAAATATTACGGATATGTCGTGGACAACACAGCAGAGGTTGGAGACTCGTCACGGCTGCACAGGTAGAAAGAGACAACAGTGGCTGAAATGTATTTATTCCCTGCCACAGTCATGCTAAGTTATGCCACATATCTATAAGAACAATATACGTAATTACTGGTCACACACCACTTCATCAGTACTTCAGTTTTCCGTGACCTCCTTCCCTGCAACAGATTCACTCTGTTGTTACGAATGTTGCACTTCTCAGACAGAAATATGCCAAACAGAAATGACCTTCTATACAAAATCCGGGAAGTGGTTATGTATTTGAAGAAGAAATTCAGTGCACACTTTTATCCCTTCAAGAACATTGTTGTTGATGAGTCCTTGATTCTGTTCAAAGGACGTCTGTCATTCAAGCAATATATACCGAGCAAACGTAATCGCTTTGGTATAAAACGTTTTGTTATGTGTGACTGCGAGAGTGGTCTTGTGTTGGATGTTACTGCATACACTGAGAGAAACACACTCGATGACAGATGGATGTTGGGCATTTCCGGTGATGTTGTTCGCAGGATGATGGAACCATACCTTGACAAGGGCCATACATTGTACACAGACAACTGGTATACAAGCCCTATGCTTGCTGATTTCCTATGTGTGAACAAAACTGATATATGTGGAACAGTGAAAAGGAATAGAAAACACATGCCAAGGTTCAGTGGAGGCAGTGTTAAAGGTGCAGTGCAAGTGCTTCATGCTAATGACATCATGGCATTGACGTGGCATGACAAATGGGACATGACATTGCTGTCAACCATCCACAGAAATGAGATGGTACAAACAGACAGACTGAGCAGGTTCAACAAAGAACCTATTGTAAAGCCAGCTGCTGTTGTGGACTATATGAACAATATGCGACTAGTTGACAAGTGTGACATGATGATAGGATTTGTTGACTGTGTATGGAGTCGCAAGTGGTATATAAAACTGTTTTTTCACCTTGTAGAGACTGCAGTGCTCAATGCATTCAATGTGTAAGAAATAAAGACTGGAAAATGAGAATGTTTTGCAGAATTCTCTCTGAATCTTGTCAAACAGATAGCAAGAAAGTATGGTACCACACCTGTACCTGCCCCTCAACAGCAACTTGTCCCATAACCACAGCCAGTGGGGGAAGTACCAGACCAAATCACTCATAACTGTCACTATCTGGTACCAATACCACCTACCCCAAAGAAGAAGAATTCCCAGAAAAAGTGTGTTGTGTGCTACCACCAAAAAATGACCCCAACAGCAGAAGGAGAACAATTCATTTGTCACCAGTGTGGGGTGGCAATCTGTATGAATCCATGCTTCCTGGAGTATCATGCAATTGTGGAATTCTAGAAACATAAGTGGGACATCTAAATACTTGTATATAGTTGTAGATAATAGAATGTGATTCAGCCAGGTGTGCAAAATCACCTGTCAGTGTGTACACGTATGTTATGACAATATGATAATGATTTCGTATATAATATTGATGTACAAATAACAATTGGCATTGAAATCAAAAGATTTACTAAAAAACATAATTATCATATCATGAAAACCAAGAAAATGAAAAAAAAAAAAAAAAAAAAAAAGGAAGAAAACGGTAAATATGTAGAATTTCTGCAAGCGGCAGTGCTCCATGTTGCCGTCAGGTGATTGTCAAGTGCCAACTTCGCGGCCTCATATCTCGGTAAGTACTGACCCTAAAAATTTTTATTCTAAAACGCTTAGTGTTTTTTTTTTCTATAAAAAAAAAAAAAAAAGAATTTATTTTTTCAAAATATTCGGGGCGCTGCACAAGAGAACGTATATATACGTTTGGACCATTTGAGGGTTAATTGAAATGCAATTAATTTGTTCCAGCTGAATTCCTGCTCTCAGGAGGCATGACAAAATAACCCTAATATCAACTGTACAGCTTATTTATTTGTCACAATTCATTTAATACAGTGGACCTCCGGTTTGCGATATTAATC